GTCCCAGGCTGATACGGGTTGGCTAGAAGTAAAGGTCAAGGAGTGTCACCCCAGAGCCCACGCTCTAACCGGGTGCTCTGCTCCCTTGAGCGTGGCAGCGAGGTGGATCCTGAGGGAGATGGAGACAGATGAGCGAGGAAGTGGGGCCTTCTGAGGAGGAACGGAGGGCGGAGGCCCTTACCCCATCTTCAGTCCTACCCTGAAACCGATGGCCTCCCCTGGAACAGCAGAGGTGACTCCAGACAAAGGTGGGGGGAGCAGGGAACCCCCAAGGCAGAAACAAAACTCAGAATTTAAGGGAAGAGGAAAGTGAAATCAGCCTGGCACCAGGGCAGAGCGGGGGAGAGAACCTGTGGCTGGAAAGAAAAGCAGCACCGCCTCCCACGCACCCGGGAACAGGAAAGGGACTGAAGTGGCCAGAGCCCCTGCGCTCCCCCTCCGCCCCCCATTGCTTCCGCGCACTGGCCCCCTCCCTGCCGGCTTTTCCCTCATAGCCCTTCCCGCCCCCTGACATTACCCGTGACCCTCCCCAACTGGGACGGAAACGCTACCCCAGCAGGTTGATCTTCTCTTTCCTGTGCTTCTCCTACGAGCCCAGAACAGCGCCTGGCACAGAGTAGGAAATATTTGTTGCGTGACGGAAGAAAACACATGTGACCTCATGCACTCTCCAGTGCCACTATGTACCTGTCCTACAGGACACCATCTAGGAGGATAAATCGGTTTAGCCCGCTCTGAAAGACGATCGGCAATGTTTTTGTTTTTTTCTTTAAACGTGGGCTGCGTAGACTTGAGCAGTCTGTCAGGCTCCTTGGTTTGGGGTACTCCAAAGCCTCCCTTTGACATGGACTTTCCCCTGCAGCCCACCCCCATCCTCCTCCCACTTCACCTAGGCTCCCACTCGTGTGTTTCACACCTGCCCTTTCAACCTGCTTTCCACATATGTAACAGGAGGCACCATTTACTGGCTGCTTACTATGAACCAGGCACTGCGCTGAGCGCTTTATGTGTCATAGCTCATTTAATCATCACCTGCTCCTGAAGAAGGTGCTATTATTGTCCCCACTTTACAGATGAAAAACTGAAGCACAGAGAGGGTAAGGCACCTGCTCGAGGTCTCAGAGTAAATGGCAGGAATATACAGATTATTGTGTTCATCTGTTTTTGGTTTCTGTGAGCACTGAGGGCTGTAGATCTCGTTCTGTTTTTTTCCGTGTTTCACTTGACACTATGCATCTAAGCTTTGTCCACACTGCATTCTGCCATGCGTTCCCCAGTGACAAACACCTCCAGCCTCCAACTCTAGCCACCTCAAACCACACCTAGGAAAGGTCTTTCTATCTGTGAGAGGTTTTACCCAGGAGTGGAACCGCCAGGAGGCACTTAGCT